TCCAACCTGGCCTTGGACACTTCCAGGGATGGGGCAGCCACAGCTTCTCTGGGCAGCCTGAGTGCCCTGAAACCTCCTCCCTGCCCACAGCAGCCGCCCATGCCCCACACAGTCCCTCTCTCCCCCCAGCCCATGCCCCACACTCACCCTCTCCCTCTCTCCCCACAGCCCGTGCCCCACACTCACCCTCTCCCTCTCTCCCCACAGCGGGCTCTCAGTGACGTGCAGGCAGGCGAGAGCCAGCGCAGCCCCAGGATGACCTCTCCCCTGGCCTGGTGAGGGGCCTGCAGTGACCTGAGCTGCCACAGTTCGTTGCCAACAAAGTGCAATTTGCTCCTGTCGAGTCTGGTTGTAAATACGCTGCTGCCACCTGCTCCCACCCAGCAGAGCCCCGGGCGGAGGGGCCGGGGCAGGTGGGCACTGAGCAGGCACCGCTGGTGACAGTGGGTGGTGTGAGGGTGAGGCACGGGGGGCACGAAGGCAAACACTGCACTGGGCTTGGTGACAGCTTTTCTAGCACCCTCCATCTCCAGTGGATTCCTGAGTCAAGGATTTCAGACCCATCTGATGAAACTCCACCCTGCTCGAGTTCCCAGAAGAAGAGAACTTCCCCACGTCCCCCTGGCCATGGCCCAGCACGGGGGGCTCTGCCCAGGCAGGCACCACTCGCCCCACCAGCCTTGGGGCCGGGGTTAAAGCCCAGCCACAGAGTCCCTGGGAAGCCAGAGCAGGTCAGGCAGGGGAGGGGGTGTGGGGGATGAGGAGAAGGGATGCCACCAGTGCCTGCTCCCCTGGGACCCTGAGTAACAATACTGCTGAGCTGCTCTCCAGTCCCTCCCCAGTCCTGTCTGCCCTGGAGCAGAGCTGGAGCTCCACCTGAACAGACTGTAACAGTGGAACAGACATCACTGGAGGTGGTCTGCAGGCTTTAATTCCCTGCCATTGCCAGCCAGTGGCAATGGAAAGCAATAGGACCTTGCAGAACCCTTCTAACATGTCCATGTGGTCCCACGTACGGATCTACCTACCCAGCTTCATCCCGCCCATCAGCTTTGCTTAAAGCTGTGCCAGAGGCTGATGGATCTTGAAAGCTTCTCAAGAGTTTAACACATCAGCACAAGGCTTATTGGAACTCGCCAGCAGCCAGAAATCCCTGAGCATTTTGGTGCCTCCTTGGAAAGCACAGAACCCCTGGTAGCCTGAAAACGAGTGGGAGTCCTCTGCAGCTCCAAGTGCCTCTCCAAGGCACAGCAGAAACAGCAGGAAATGCATCCCCTGCCCTCCTCCAGTCACTTCCAAGAGCTGGAGTCCTGAGTCCCTTTACTGTCCATGGTGACCATCCCAGGGAACTCCAGAGGTATGCATGTCCATCCTCCAGTGTCCATGTCCTCTCAAGGTGCATGTGTGTCTTTCACTGAGTCTGGCTGTCACTGAATTCCCATGTGGGATGGAAGGGGAGCAGCACCCCATGGCCAGTGCATGCCCCTGAGGGTGACAGGGTGCCCCGAGAGCTGCTGGCAGCAGACCCAGTGTGCTGCTGCTGTGAGACATCACTCTGTGCAAAATGCATCCATTGCCTTCCAAGCCTGTCCCGCTCCCACATCCCCCCATGGCAGTGCCCCAGCAAACCACGGTGTAGGGACCCCCCTCCCCATTGCCAGAGCAAGGGCTCGTCCTGCAGCTCCGCTCAAGGACACGACCACCAACCGGTGCATTATTTCTGGGAGACCTTACGACCATCAAATCTCCAGGTTTTGGTATTTTTTTAAACCCTGCTGTAGAAAGTGAAGTATATTTTCACAAGCGTTCTCCGTTTATACAGCTTTAAGTGCCAGGTAGTGTGTAGCCTTGTGTTCCCAGAGGTCCAGACCTGTCCCTGCCCCGATGGAGGTGACAAGGCCACGCTCCCTCTGCTCCATTTTCCCTCTTGGATGTTGCACACTGCATTCCATTGATTTTTTCTTTTTTTTCTTTTATTTTTTTTTTTAAAATACATTCATTGTTTAAACCACCGGAGGTTCTTTGAAGCTGTCATGACAGTAACTGCTGTACATAGATTTTGCTACATGTTGTAACTTTCCGAGATAGTTAGAACTCCAACCCCTTTGGTATTTTTATGTGATATTTTCAAAGAACCAGAACTTCTGGTTATATGATTTGATAATGGGACTCTGTATATTCACAATTCAGTCTCAACCCAATGCCTATGTGCTACTCCCAAAATAAAGCTACTGCCTTCTGCCTCCTGACTTTATGGGCCTCTGTCTTCTGTCCAAAATCGCTGCCGTGATGGTGTGAGGAATTCTGCATCTGGCACTTGGCAACTACACTTGTTAATGTTGGCCCTTTACACCTGCAGAAGAGAGACACAGGGTCTCACCTGCCTGGGCTGGGGCAGAATCACTGCCTGAAGGACCTCAGCATCCAGGCTGGTGTGATCAATATGAGCAGCAAATTCTTAAAATAGTATGGATTTTTTCCTCCAGCCTTCAGAAGAAAACATTTAATGAGCATATGAGCCAGTGAATTGTTTCCCTCTCAAAAGGAATTCTTGGCTGAGGTTGAGTTTATGTCCCAGGAGCCATTTATCTCCCCTGACACTAACAGCAGATAGATAGGGAGCAGCTCCATATCAGATGTCCTGGTTGTAGATTAGCTGGTTTACAGCAGCCTGCTCGATCCCTGGGTGCTCCCCAGAACCTGGAACATGGCTCTGTGCAGAGTTATCCAAGATAGCCCCTGCTGAGCACGTGCATCTCCTTCCCATCCGCAAGCAACCCTGAGTGACATGCTCCAGGGGAGCAGGGAGGTTGGATTAGGTGACCTCCCGTGGTCCCTTCCAGCCTGAACCATCCTTTGATTCTCTTTGAAGTGCTCAAAGCCCTCCTGATGTTTCCTCAGCCCTCCTGGCTGATCCCACCTGGCTCTGCTGCAGCCCCAGGAGCCTGAGCTGCCCAGTGTGGCTGTCACACCTCCCACTGCCCGGGCTGAGCCCACAAACCACCCCCAGAGTGATGTCCCAGAGCCCCCATGGCACTGTGTCCCACACAACAGCCTCATCATTCCCTGCACGCTCCCATTGCTGGGTTTGGTAACTGCAGACATGAGGTAATTCCTCCCTGGCCCTGGCACTGGCCAGGCACTCTCCTTGGAGCCTCAGCCCAGCCTGAACAGAATTCCTGCGTCAGCCCTGTCACGGGATCATCCTCACAGGAAAGCCTGTCCTTGGAAAGGAAATAACAACTTGGGCAGCAGCCGGGGCCGGCGCCGGGAGTGAAGCCGGGGCTGCTCCTGCTCCAGGGCTGCCACTGCCCTCCCCTGGCACAGACCGGCAAACAGTGACCCTGGAAATCCCAAACACGGGATTATTTAAGGCTTTTCACTCTTTCCTGCAAGAAAGGTGAAAAAGACCTCAAAGAGGAAATGATAAGCTCGAGTAAGTCACGGTGAAAAGAGGATCACAGCTGGGAGTCCAGGCTGGCACCTCCATGGCAAAGTGGAACCACATTTGAACCCTCCCTCCAAGTATCTGGATAATAGTTTGAATGGCCTCAATCTCTAATTATTTTCCAGGTGCCAAGAAAAATGCCAAAGACACAAACAGAGATCTCAACTTCAGGCTGGAAGGGCTGGAGGTCAGGAAAAAGTGGCACAGACTGTGAGGCAGCATTTGCAGCCCTTGAGGATCCACCTTGTTCTAACACAATTTAGGAAAATCTGGGGTTTCCAAATATTCCCAATGGCAGGGTTCAAAGGCCTTGTTACATTCATCAGAACTGTGAGTGGGAAACATGAGATAAAACACAGATACTGAGTTTTTCATGGAATCATCAAATCCCAAAATGGTTTGGGTTGGAAGGGACCTTGGAAATCATCCAGTTCAACCTCCTGCCATGGGCAGGGACACCTTCCACCAGCCCAGGTTGCTCCAAGCCCCGTCCAACCTGGCCTTGGACACTTCCAGGAATGGGGCAGCCACAGCTTCTCTGGGCAACCTGTGCCAGGGCCTCCCCACCCTCACAGGGAAGAATTTCTTCCCAATATTCCATCTAACCCTGCCACTCTCAGGTTAAAACATGCCCTTAGGGGGTCACCTACAGTAAAATTCCTGTTGGTAACTCCACTGTTGGGACATGGAATAAGTTTGTGTGAGGACAGTGCTCGTGCTCCATCTGCCCTCCCAGCCCAGGGGTTACCTACCCAGCAAGGGGCTTCTCAGCAGTGCTGCCTGGGGCTCCACACACCCAATCCAGGGGTTTGGGAGCTGCCTCCTGCCATGGTCTCTCTGTGCTGCGAGGTCCCTCTTCAGCATCACTCTCTGTGTGTTTTGGCCCCAGTGGTTTGTCAGGATCTTCAAACAGATGATGCTGAAGACAAATCTCCAGCCTGGCCCAGAGGGGGATTTGATTCTGGGATTAACCTACAGCCTCAGCAGTGTGTTACAAATCCCAGCCGGGATGGATCCTGCTCTTTGTAAGGCTCAGGCACAAACACAGGGACAGGACCAGCGGTCAGCTCCTCCCTGTGCCACGGGCTGTCAGCTCCAGAGAGCATCAGCACGGATTTTTTATTGTTCTCTGTCCCTTCTGTAGCTGCACAGATTGCTTAAGAGAATGGCACTCTGTGGAGTTTGACCCGGGAGCCCTGATAGTGAAAATAATACACTTCTCACCAGAGCCACAGGAGACCAAAAGAGTAACTTCGGTCAATTAGTTTAACTTTGACTATAAATATTCTTTCTCGTTCCTTGTGACCCTGTTAACAGCTCCGCTGGCAAACCCCGATTCTCTGGCAATATTTAAGCTGCCTGTCAGTTGGCAGAGCCCTGGTGGTGCCCGGCGCGGGGAGCAGAATAAGACCCAGCTGAGCACAGTAAGTTTCCTTTCGGCTTCTACCTCGAGTGGGGGAGCTCCGGTCGGGTTCGGGGCTGGCGCTGGGCTGCTCTCGGCCTGGGTGAGCAGTGGTGTCTGTAGGAGGTGGATGGACCTGGGAACGCTTTAAAAAACCTGTTGAGGAGGCGTTTAGAGTGCCACGGTGCCGACGGGTTCCTCGAGAGCCACGTGGGCTGCGTCCCCCCGGCACCGTTGATAAAGGGCAGCTTCAGCGGCTTCATTTCAATGCCACGGATGTTCCCTCCTCACAATCTCTGGCGAGGAAAGCGCCGCCGCCTGTGCCAGGCACCGAGGGAGAGCAGGCTGTGAGCTGAATTCACAAAACGGGCAAAATTTCCACTGGGCCGTGGCAGAGTTGGGACCTGGAACCAGCGCAGCCGCCTCTGCTGTTTCCCTACCACCAGCCTGCGTGCTGGCTCGGGAGTGCACCAGGAGCTTAACAGGCACCTGTGCTCAGCTCTGGGAACCTCCCCTGCAGCGCATCCCACCTCTCCGTGTTTACTGACAGGCACAGCATGCCTGCAGAGCTCTGTCCTGCTCTGCACATCTCGGAGGGAGCAGACACGACCCTGCCCACCCGTGTGGCTGAATCCTGAGTGTGAGCGAGCGTGTGTAGCTGCAGCACTGCCTGCCCCTCCAGTGCAACCCAGAGCGGGACTTTGATGACCCTTGTGGGTCCTTTCCATGATTCTG